TCGATGAAAGAAATATTCGAATCCAGCGAAGATTTCGCTCGTTCGTTGTTGGGTGTTGGAGACGCGGCGATCCTCGCACGGGGAAAAAAGGGGGGAAGACCGCGCGATCGTTGGAAGAAGAAAGGAGGCAGGCGAGATTCACGCGCATACAGAATCGGTCTCCGCGAGCGCTTTCTTACGCACGTGTGCGCACGCGTGTGTAATATCGCCGGCCGAGGATTCGAGATAATGTAATCGACGATGACATTGAACGCCGTAGTAGCCGATCGCGTGCATTCCACCGCCCTCGCCCCCCTCCCCCCCTCCTCCGGCCACGGATACGCTCGTGAAACGTCGTTCCCGATCAACTCTTGCACCGATGCCAACGGTAGGCTGTCACCTCTGGATATAAACGATGGGTGACGTCAGTATGACATCAGTGATCCATATCGTCGTAATACCGTAAACCACCTTCGCGCGTACGTGTGCGCGCGTGCGCAAGGGGATAATACCGTGGTCTTTACTTAATACCTGGACAACGATGCAACAGCATGTAGAGGAGGAAAAGGAGGAGGAAAAGGAGGAGGAGGGGACCGCCGCCCCTCGAAGACAAACGAGCGCGGGAACGCGAGGACGACGGACGCGAGAGAGAATGGCGCGAAAGAAGAAAAGAAGAGAAGGTGGAGCGGGGAAGAAAGAAAGGAGCGGAATTGGCGGGAACGGATCGAGGTTAACGCGCAACCCTGCCAACTCTTCCGATCTGCGGGGCATCGCGCGGTTTATGGGTGGGGTCGTTCTCCTCTCCTCCCCTCCCCTCCCCTCCCCTCCCCGCGCCAAATGCAAATCTTCCCGCTAATCCGTCTGGCGCATCCAGCGACGTCGAATTCCATTGGCGGAGATATCGAGCTCGACCCGATTTTCCCTTTCGAATCGCGGAAAGCGTCGAGCGGATGGAGAAAGAAAAGATACGCGCCTCGCGTTTTATCGCATCGCGCGTAATTTTTCTCGTTGCAAATGGGAATAGGGGATAAGCGAGCCGCTTAGTCGGCGAAAGATTATTGGTATATCGATAGTTAGAAGGTTAATGGATATACGCGATATCGTATCGCCGGGAGGAGAAAGCTCTCGACGCCTCTGCGCGCTATTCTCGACGACCCTCCGCCGCGCGCTGCGTATCGTATTAAATGTTGCGTGCCGTGCATAACCTGCCTCTTCCTATCTTGCCCACCGTGTATTCGCGCCTGTAGTACCGCGATATTGTTGTCGTAGGTGCGGACGAGGATGCTACACCTTCGGTGTTCAAACACCATTTCTGCGTACGCGCGTTCACGCGCGTGCACCGCGCCTGTATACGTATGCGTATGCAAGTGTACGCGCGTACGTATGGAGATTCGGAGAGGAGGTGTAGAAGGAGAGATGCAGGAACGCGTCCCACTTACCATTTTCAATGACATCGCGCTAACCAAACGTTGTTTCGTATCGTATTTCCACGCGTACGTACAAGCTTTGACGCGGTTACCATTATTCCTATTAATTATACCGCGTGTTCTCGAAGTCGAAGAAAAGAAAAAAAAAAAAAAAACGACGAAGAAATCCGCTCGACGATGGAATATTCAACGACGTTTTCAACGATATTATTCATAAAAGTGTATAAATTAACTCGTACGGGCGATGTTACTTTCTTTTCTCTCTCTCTCTCTCTCTCTCTCTTTAAATATAACGCAAATATTCCGTTGTTATCTGTACAAATAAATGGGAGATATTCGGTCCGAGTACAACAAGTGTTTCTCGGAGAAGAAAAGTACGCGCTACACTTTTGCTCGTTTCGTTTGCAAAGGTGCAACCTCACATTTATTAATGTCTTTCCGTGACGCGTTCGCCTCGTACACGCGATTCCTCGCGCGACGCGTACGCGTGACGGAGCGCATACTTATCTTCCAGGTCCCGTCGCCGTTACTTTACCAGACCCAAACGCGAAATACTCTCCCATTGTTGTATCGAGCGACTCGCTCCCACACTCGTGGCCGGCAATGATATCGCGTTCCTTCTTCCAACACGATCTGCCTCTCCTTCCATCTCCCCCCCCCCCTCCTCCTCCTCCTCTTCCTCCTTTCTCCCTCGTACGAGTCGGTCGAAAGAGGCGAAGGTGGAGGCTAATCACCACGCAATCACCGCTCCCGGTGCGGCCAACTCCGACCCGTTCCGAGAAAGGCAGCAACCGCCTTTTGCCGCCCCGGGGCATTCACTACCGCTGTACCGGTATAGCAAAACCAACAATCTTCATCCTCGACTCCGCGGAAAAAAAGGCCTCTCTCTCTCCACCATCCACCCTCTTCTCCGCCTCTTTTCTCCAAATCACCGGAGGGCCGACCGATCGCTCGACTACTGGCATCCGGGGAATCCATCGCGAGAATGGCGCCGATTCCACTTTGAGAACCGATCGACGGACACATCCAACCTACGTATTAAACGTCCCGGTCAGCAATCTTTCGAACACGACATTGGCCGGAATGCGGATCATCGGGATATCCACGTCCGGATACTACCATCCTCGGTGTAACTCGTCGATCGAGTTTCCGATCTCCCGTGCACCATATAAAATTCCGTCCCGACTTTCGTCTCCAACGCCTCTCTCAACGTATTCGAACGCAAATCGCAAACCTCTTCTCGTTAAAAAATACGAATTCGATCGAATGATCAATTAATCGATATTATATGTAATATTCGTGCGAGTAATGGCGACGATTATTCGATCGCGAGACGAGAAATTAGAGATACGGTTGGATGATCGTTACAGGTATATACGGGGTTGCACCTTTAACAGCGGATCCGTACGCCCACGCCACGATGTACGAGTATATATATATATATACGGTTGAAATCAACGGCGGAGAGGAATTCCGGGAGAAGAAGAGGAGGCGTGAGTTTACGATAAGATACACACGTGCGACTCGCTCCCTCCGCTCTGGTCGCAACGGGCTAATCGAATCGTGACTTATTGTCAAGCTAAGCCCATATTCGAATACGTGCAGAAGGTCACGTTCGTTAGAACTTTACGGTTCCCTTTTAACGTCGCGCCGGTTCGCAAACTCGACTATACAACTTTCAACGGTTTCCACGATTGATAGCTCCTCGAAACGTGTTCTCGGTGTACATTGTGCGCCTGTTTACTTGTCGTCGCAATCTAATTGACCGTATTGAATGTTGACTAGATTGTGCGGTTGATTTCCGATTCGAGACGCGTGCTTCGCCACCTGGAACAGTGTTTCCCAACTCGCGCCTCGCCATCGTCTCTTCCAAGGGGGGTTGTGGACTGATCTTATTATCTCTTATCGTTAACCTCGTTTACACGCGAAAATTGCACCATTTTCAAGCTTCGTTCGTCCCTCGTACGTGGCTGTTCGCGAGCAACGTGACGCGTGGCGAAAGAAAATCTCGAGCTATTCGAAAAACGTTGGGAGACACTGGCGCTAGACGCTTGGTAAGTGAAATATCGACGTTAATGATTTAACCGATAATGAGAATACGTTGCGAATCCGTGGAATCAGTTACGTTCGTAGGTTTGATTTACGATCAAGGAGAGAAGAAAGGAAAAAAGAGACGATTTCTATGAATCGGCGATTCCGATCGAAAAGTACGAAAGCGAGATCGAGTCTCGGGGCGAGAGATGCGCATCATCGAACGGCACACGTGTGCTCTCGTCGCTGGCCAATGCGCTAAGACGCGTGTTCGTTCACGCGTGACTGACGTGCGAATTGCACGAACGATCGTATCGAATCGGCCGTGACAGCTCGCGTCTGAACACACGCATCGTTTCGATGTACACGCACGCACGGGGCAATTAACGCCCGTTAATTACCCTCGTGGTGGTCCACGAGTTCTTTGTCGGCACATTTTATAACGATGTCGATCCTAAATTCCCTTAATCGTAGATAAATCGGACGAAAAACCGTTCGTACGAATTTATATCGACTCGACTCGAGTTTCCACCAAGCTTTCCCGGACCAACCGTGTATACGAAGCGCGCGTATACGACGCGTTGCCTCGCCGATTATCCGAATTTCCGATTATCCGATTACCCGAAGTAATGTTTGCGATACGCGAGATAAATCAGATTTAATCGACACTTGGCTTCGCGTTTACGGGCAGAATCCAAGGATAACGAAGCTCGTGCGAAATATATTAACCGGCGGGGGTCTGGCCTCGTGAAAACGTTGGAGGGATCACCCCCGCACGCCCTCGGGGTGAAGTTCGGTTCAATACGGAATCGCGAAGGAAGTCGTAAGCTGGGACGTTTAATTGCGCAATAAATCCTGATTCTCCGATTTGCAACCCATTTCCTACTGCGGGGGCGACGATTGGTCGCTGTTAAATTGGCGCGTAGGTGCAATGGTAGGTACCTACTTACGTGTACCCGTGTAGCCACGCCGACTGTGAAAGTCGGAAGAGCCTCGATTCTCCCTTTTCCCCTCTCTTTCTCTCCTTCCGATCTCTCCATCGCACCCTCGATGACACGCGACCTTTCCGATCTCGCTATCCCAGAGATCTTCAGAGATCTTTTCAAAATCCGTCTCTCTTTTTCTTCTTCTTCTTTTTCTAGAACTTCATTAGAAACAGTAATTTTTATTCACGAATGAATAACGAATGGACGGCGAATCGAGCATCGTCTAGCATCATCGATGCGATTGCTATTTACGTTCCGAGGTGTCGCGTTTCAAAATCGAAGCGATACGAGATTTTTATTAACGATGTACCGCGGCTTGGCGGTATGAACGACGAGGCGCGTTGCTTGAATTTAGATGGAAATTAACTCATTCGACTTATGCGTCGATTGTTTCACCGCGACTTTTCATTCCTTCCGAGTCGGCGACGATATATCACGCTTCTATTATTATAATAATAGTAGACGAGGCGACGACGATCCTTCCCATCGAGATCGCGATCGAATTTCATCAACATTCATCTTTCATGCCACGTGTAAAGCGTGATCTGACGTTAGGGATTTCGGCTGTGTGTTACAGATCCGGTGGGACAGACGATTACCTTCGCGTTCCTCGCATCGTTGCTGAGCTCGGGCCTGAACACGGTTTCAAGCGCACCCGCTTACGGCCCCCGCACCGCCGTATCCAACGCGAACAACATGGACCGGTGGTTGCAACCATGCGGCAACCCGGTCGCGATGCAGTTCAAGAAGATGCCACAGAGACACAGCGTGCATAGAACGTTGAAAAGAGTGCGGACGCAGCTCCGCGTTGCCCAGAATCACTTCAGAAAGCATCTGGATGATGTGCACGAGATATACTCGAAGGTAAAGCGTCACGTTCGACCTGACCGCGATTCGTAATTAATCGCTGAACCGAGCCGCGTCGGGGAGAGAAGAGAGTGGGCGGCTCTTTCACGGAGAGACTCGCACGTGCGCAAAACGTCTATCCTACTTTCTGCTCGCTCTGTAATTTGCATTCGTTACGATGTTGCACGCCACGCACCACGCGTAATAACATTTTTCGACCAATAGCGGTAGCGCGTATATGCTTCGTATATACGTGCCTCGATTAACATCGTTGCAACGGGTTGTTCCATCGTTATTCGGATAGTGTGGATGATTCAAATCTATTGCACACGCGTCGATTATTGCACGAATCATTGGCTGTAACTTTGATATAGAAAAGAAATCTTGTGTTATTATTATTATTATTATTATTTCTCTTTTTAAATTCAGATATCTCGCGCAATGATATTATACTCGACGGAAAAAAGTTGAAATTATCTCATTATTCTTTTCCATTGAAATTCGTTCGTAAACTTGTCGAGGAAAAATGAGGCGAAGAAATATGGAGCGCGTGCGAATTGTATTAAAAAGAATATTTAGACGAAACAATATCTCGACTTTCACTTGCAGGTGTACTCGTTGAAGGGGCAATACAGAATGCCTTGGCTCCCGGAGAAGGAGTTCGAGTGGTATTTCAGGGAGGTTTGGTGTCTCGAAAAGGGAAAGAAAGCTGACCGCGCGCTTCCACATCTCTACGATTCGCTGCAAAGGTTCGCCATCACGTTCCATCATCTCAGAACTTTCCGCCTGAAATCTAACATCAACGTTGACCTCACGATGGACAGGAGAAACGAGATTATCAATCAAATGCACAATGAGATTCTTAGGGTATGGAAAATTTATATCGTATGACGCTCTATCTATCTATTTAGCTTTTAAAATTCCTCTTTATGAAGCTCCCTGTCGTATCGTTCGATCGATTTTGTATCGATTTTGATATCGATGGAGGAGAGAAGATAGATCGAAGACAATTTGGCATCTCTCGTTTATAGGTATTGTGCGAAGTGGAGACCGCCATTCTAAACTTAGGGTTACAAGTTCCCGCGGCGCACACGGCAAAAATAGTGACGGAAAGTTCAAATTGGGCGAAGGAAGCCGACCTCACTTCGATGTTGATCCAAGATTGGGGCGTGATAAGATTGTATCAGGCGTTTCTGAAAGCTTGGACGAAAGCTTTCCGCGACGCGACCGCGCTTGGACCGGGGACATGCGATCCTAATAGGCCGAATCCAGGAGCTAAGAACATTAACAAAGGATCTGGGCCAAAGGGTAAAAGGATATCGAAGATTAAGAAGCAAAAAAGGCCAGTTAGAAAGCATTCAGAGGGCGGTGGCCAGAATAGTTCCTTGCCTCAGGGACCAAAAAAGAGTATTCCGAGGAACAGACTGCTGAAAAACAAACAAAAGAAGGGAATGTGATGAAATTCGCCTCGTGAGCTTTTGTTTTCTTTTTTACCGGATCTACTGATTATTTTAAAGGGACGGTTAACAGGCAACTTCTTCGTTTTGCGTGTAAAACAACTCTCTCTTTCTCTCTCTCTCTCTCTCTCTCTCTCTCTCTCTCTCTCTTTCTTCTCTCTTCATTATTATGACTGGAATATCTTTATCGTTACACTTTTCATATTATCATTATGTTATTAATTTAAAAAAAAAAAACATTTAACGATATCTAATGCCTTATGTAAGAAACGCGTAATCTCTTAGTTCCTTTAGACACGTCGAGATTTATTCGTTCGTACGTACGTATTATCATTTCCTTTTTTCATTTTTTTATAATTTCTTTATTTAAATTATTAATATTTGTGATCACCATCAAATTATTTTGCCTGTCAATCTTCCACGATGACGATGTATTTCTATACTCTTCGAATTGTCATTCATCTTTCTTATTTATTTTGTTTTTATTTTTATTCTTTTTTTTTTTTTTTTTTTTTTTTTTTATTATTATTTACGATCATTCATAGATGCTTAGTATTTTGCAATCTTGCCAGTTTGTTCCGATGGTAGAGCGTTAAAGATAGAGTTTTAGGGACAAGATTAATCGTATTAAAAGAATCGCCGTTTTGTTTTCGATAACTGGTGTATTTGATAGCTACAAAAGTGTTATTAATAATCAAGCTGTATACTAGAGACCAGTATTAAGAAATGTACTTCAGAACAGTATTATGTCATAGAACATACTTAAATAATTAGAATAGTGATTAACATGATAAAAATGTCCGATTCGTATGGCGCATATCGATCGATTTGTTTTACGAGATGATCGAACGATTAAAGATCGTTCGCAAATATATATTTGCGAAGTAAAACTGTGGAAAATCGTTTTTCGAAAACTTTTACTCTTACTATTGGAAAATCAACCGGCGAAAAAGTAATTTTCTATAGTTTTATTCCGTTCAAATATGTATTTAACATCGCAACGCACGATCTACGATCATCGTTGCAGACTAACGCGCTTGAAATTTTCAGTTATATTATATATATATATATATATTCCGTGCGTGAAAAGACAAGATAGTAGAAAATTTGCGTATCGAAACACTATTAAATCGATGCGTGGAAAATGCGATGAGAGTTGAAAAATTAGAAATTAGGGAAAAGACAAGATAGTAGAAAATTTGCGTATCGAAACGTTTATTAAATCGATGAGTGGAAAATGCGATGAGAGTTGAAAAATTAGAAATTAGGGAAAAACTGAGGAATGGAAATCGCGATAATTATGTAGATCGCTTCGCTCTTATTGTTAGTAAATATCTAGAAAATTTGTCTTCGTATTCTGACACGATAATAATTCGATAACTTGATCAAGTCGTGACTGGTTACGAATAAAAAGCGTATTTATATCGAAGAGGAAGCCCAATGATTATATATCGAGAATGATTTCGAAACGAAAGTGTGCGAAAGACGATGATGTGCCGTAAACAGTCATCGATATTAATCACCGAACAGACGATTCGTCAAACTTTATTTATTGTAGCTTTAACGTAAGCAGACGAAAGCTTAATGTCGTTTAGCTGTGATATCTTTGAGCGTACGCGGACGTACAGAGTTCCTACGTTTTATACATAGGCGCATTATATATTTGTAAGTAACGTGCGTTTACGCGTACAATACGTACTTAGATTTAATACAATTATTTTTCTTTTTTTTTCTCTCTTTTTTTTTTTTTTTTTTTTTTATTTCACTTTTCTCCTCCAATTCGTAGAATCTCGTCCTATCGCGAACATGACAACTTTATCTTGATTTTGCTTCTCTACTTGCTTTCCAATGTACACGACGATACTTAACGGAATGGTACCGTTTAACGAGACGTTCTCGTAAATTTTCGTTCCCTTAATTTCTATTCTATTATTTAGGCCAGATAATGAAACGACGGTTTCTTTGAAATACGAATAATATACGAGGGACCAATTGTTGCGATTCGTATTCGCGCTGAAGATACACGCGATTCAAGGTACCGTGTTTTTTCTTCGTTTTAGAACAGAAATATATTTGTATTAAAGACGATCGATGTTTTTGTATCGAACCGGTATTTAGCTAATACACATTGTACTTTAACTTTTAGATATTTTTGTACTTGGTATTCACACATGACGTGATACTAAACATTTTATACACGCACACTTAGTAATTAAGGATTTCACTTGCATTTTTATCAAGTATACGTAGTAGGTATATTTATTATGGCGTACACGTAGGCGTACATAATGTTACGATTTATTTATTATATCACGTTACCATTGCATATAATTATTTATTGTCATTTCTATACTTATGTAATCGTCTTGAATAAATTCGATGTTTTTGTATTGAACAGTGATTCGCCTTTTATATTTCCTCAATTTATCTATAAACGATACCAATTCTTTCAAACATTCTTCAATCGCGTTAATTGTAAAATTTTTTTTGTTTATGTGCAACATCGGAAGTTAATAAATTGTATCAGGCTTTTATAAAACGCGCATTCATCCTTAATAATCAGTTGACGATCGTTATTGATATTGTCCAGGGAATAAAGATATATTATACGATAATATTCGAGTAATTGCAATCGCGTAGATTAGCAATAAAATATTTATTAACAAATAATAAAATAAAAATTATGAAACAATAGATTTATTGGTGGATTATAATTATATTTCGAATAATGTGAAAAAGACCAGAGTTCGTTTGAATAAAAGATGAATCGAGTAATCGAAAAATTAAACAATTTATTTATAAATACCGAAACGTATAGATTTAATACGGATCGTTTAAACGGTACAATCAATATTGATTAAATTAATAATTATTTTGATTTTACTTTTACAAAGATTGTAATTATTATTATTATTATTATTATTATTTTTATTATTACAATAAAACAGACAATTTATATTAGATTGAAATATAACGTAATAATTCTCAATGTATCGTTTGTTATTTATAATATTAATTTTCGATAACGTAGAATATTACTGATAATTATTATTAATCGAAACTTTTCGTCATTGTATTTAATTTTATGTAGAGCTGTTCGAGGGTCCTTTATCGAAAAATATCCCGAACGGATCCAGTATCAGGCGTACACGAACGGTAGGAAAGTTGTAATCTATATTCATTACTATTTCCGCACTCGTAAATGTTTGTATGTAATTGTACGCCAACGCAACAATTTTTCAATGTATCGTTATAATATTTTTTTTAACATCAAATATAAAAATATTCCTTATTTACAATATAGTAGTATATCATATACCAACTTGATAAAATCGATAAAATTAAACACGAGCAATGTTATATATATATGTTATATTACATACGATATGATAACGTTTGTAATTATTCGATTAGACAGGAAGTACAAAGTCTTTCGTATTTATCATTTCAGCTATAATTATAATTTTAATCCTGTTATATAATTGTATCTTAATTTTGGTACTATCGAAATTATTGTGGTAACGCGACGTTAAAAAGGGTTCGTGTGTAAATGAATCCATCGTTTGTTTCCTTTGGATCTTGATGTGCGCGATTATACCCGGAATATCCAATGGCGTTAATTTAATCTCGTGTGAGAAGATCCAATTTTAGTTCGATAAATCTGCCGACAGTCTAATTATAGCATCACCATATATGGTAGATATCTAACATACTACTATGTACCATGTGTCAAGCGTTGATACAGAATGCGTACGCTGTGAGTGAGTAGACTTCATTCACCACTTTTTACGTACATGTTCGACTTAATCGTTCGGTTGTCGATGCAAAAGTATTGACATCTTTGACGTCAATTTTTCCTATCGCTTTCTTACGTATTCGTATCATCCTTTCGTTCCTCTCTCATATCTTGCAAATACATATATGGTTCAAGCTTTATTTTCTTACAAAATCTAACTTCCAATTTAATTAACGTTTAATTTTTCCACGAGAAATTTTGTTTTTACACAACGTTGAAACGATTCGATTTTATTCAAAATATCACGAAGGATATTATTATTTTAATGTGAATGATAAATCGTGCTTCGTGTTATGAATTATAAAAGGACTATTATTTTATAACCGGCAAAATTAATAATCACGCTTGTAATCCAGTCCTATATCTCATGCTATTTCGCGATGCGGTCTTTGATTTAAATTATACACTAACATTTTTTATGCATAGTTTTCTAAAAAATTGCTACGAAATCCAATGGATTCGCGAATATGGATGCGCGATGACAGATTATGAACGCCGATTTTTCGAAGAAAATCCAGAGATCTATAAACGCGACAAAGTGCGAAATTGTCTGAAATCAATAGATATTACTTAGAAGAATTATAATAAACGCATCATATATATGTAAATTTAGAAAAAAATACAATATTATCTTGTTCTCTTATTGAAAAATCGAAAGATTAGAAAGGTTAGGACTATGGGCGATAATAAATTATGATCGTCGATTTTTCTAAAAAAATCCAGAGATCTATAAACGCGACAAAGTGCGAAATTATCTGAAATCAATAGATATTACTTAGAAGAATTATAATAAACGCATCATATATATGTAAATTTAGAAAAAAATACAATATTATCTTGTTCTCTTATTGAAAAATCGAAAGGTCGCTAAAGATTAGAAAGGTTAGAAATAGGCGCGATAATAGATTATGATCGTCGATTTTTCTAAAAAAATCCAGAGATCTATGAACACGAGAAAGTGCGAAGTTGTCTGAAATCAATAGATATTACTTAGAAAAATTTTAATAATCGCACCATATACGTAATTTTAGAAAAAACCATATACGTAAATTTAGAAAAAAATACAATATTATCTTGTTCTCTTATTGAAAAATCGAAAGGTCGCTAAAGATTAGAAAGGTTACTATGTGATTAAAAAAATATATAGATATAAGATAAAACATTTCATAAAACGAATTATAATTAAATAATAATTAAAGAAGAAATAGGAAAAATAAATAAAATTTCGCGAGATAATTCGTTATAACTGAGAAACGAAACTTTGTAATGATGTTGAGAATTAAGATTGATATATTTTAATCAATTACGTTATCGCACAGTTTCGATTACAAAATTCGGTGAATACCCGCAATATTACATTAAACATTACTACCAACTATAAAAAAATTATTCGAGAATAAATTGTTTCATGAGATTATATGAATCTCACATTTTATTTTTGAAAAAAAAAAAAATCGTTTCGAAGAAGAAGACTTGTGGATGTGATTCCACGAGTTTGTCAAAACGGCTAAAAAGTTCGACAAAATATAAGCCGTCATCCCACCGTCGTTCAACGTGCGTAGGTACGCTTGATTGTTTACACAATCTAGTATATAAGAAGAGTTTGAGAGTTTGACAATCTCAGTTCACGATCTCACGCCAATCGGTAACATCACTTTAACGAAATTGTTCCTTTTGGTCAATTAATTATAATTTCTAATCTAATTCAGTGAGTTCGTATCGTAACTTGTAAGAAAAATTTCTAAAAGTCTAATCTAAATTTCTAGAAATTTCAATCGCAAAAATGCTCGCTTCGCGTAATTATCTGTTGATCTCGATACTCGCTGTTGTATCTGGTGCACCTAAAACACGATCCACCAAATCGAACACACCAACTTGGTATTTACCATGTGGCGAGAATCTAGAAATCGATGTGAACAGCGAAGAAGAAGCTAACACGAATATAGACGTAAAACCTTATATACAGAAGATTCAGATTCAGCATAAATTGACTCTGAACGAATATTTACGTCAAGACTACGAGTACTTGTATGAAAAGGTACGAATCGGTGTTAACGAACATCAATATATCCCGAACTGGGTTCCTGGCAAGAAAGACGTGAACGCAATCAGAAGGATCAAGTCCATTTTAAACTCACAAATGGTGAGTGCTCTTCATACGTATATAGAAAATTAATTCCATTCAGATTTTCGTCTACGTTTGAATCCTTGATCCTTAAATGATTGATACCGAATCGTTTACAACCTATTCTATTATATATTAAAAACAGTTTCTTTCTATTTATAAAAGTGTGTTAAAAAAATTGATGGTAAAATAAATTTTTTTCTCGAAAAGCAGAAAATTAATTTAAACGACTTTAACGATTCGGTATTATAAAGGATTAAAGCAAGAAGATCAATCACGTTTCTCGAAAATATTACAAATTCTAAAAATTATAAACTGGTGAAACAGTCGGATAAAAAATTTGAAAAGTTTCCCCAATTCGAAATAAAGAAATATATATCCTATTGATCGATATATCTATCTCCTTGTTCAAAGGATCATTCGATTAATAATTAATTTGCATCGCGCGTTAATTAAGATCCTCGTTTAAACGGTTAATTTAACGGCGTTTAAGCTTACATAAATATTCATGGAGCGTGGAAAGCGGGGTAAACGGAAAGAAGGGAGGCGCGATGGACTCGCGGGAACAGGTGAGAGAGAAGGTGGTCGCGCGTATTTTCACCGGCACGGCCAATTGACCGAGCACATCCCGATGTTGCAATTAATTAACGCAACGTTAAATAACAAATTTTAATGAGACGGTAATTATTATAAAGTAGCAGGGAAACAGAAGCATGCGCGACTGTTCGGCTGTTTGCGCGCGCAATGCAAGTTCGCGGGTGTACACGGTTGCTCATGTTAGCCGGGTCGTGCGGCTGCGTAATCAAGCTTGTTCTCAGCTACGATGCGTGCACACTGATAACGCATCCGTGATAACGTACAGGGTACTCTCAGATGTTTACCGCAGTTCTCTTATTTTTTTTTTTTTTTTTTTCCCTTACACCGGCACGTTTCGATTATTTTCAACGACGCGACAAGTGCTTGTCTTCTTTTTTCATATTTCGTTGGAAAAAAATATTTCGAGTCGAGATATATATATATACACGATAGATCGATCTATCTTGTGTAATTCACGAAGGAAAGTGTGATTCAAATTAATTAACGTATCATTAATGATTACAATATTACAATACGAGATAAGGATTCCGATTTCGAATGATTTTAGTAATTAGTAATTATATATATTTAATTTTTTATCGCAAATTTTGTTTTTTTAAAAATCGAATTCTACGATCAGATCGAATAGAATTATTTTGAATTTTTTAGTAAAATTATTTACTGTATATAGATCAATCCGAATAATTTTGAGCGGTACTATGACAATGAATATTTATTATTTAATAATAGTTCGCGATATATATTCAACAGAAAAATTGACAAAAAGTGAAATAATAATTTTTCTTATAGATCGTGAATCACTTTCCAAAGTTACACATCGATCTTCAGAAGTTTGCGATAGCTTTTGAGGAATTGGTGGAAGACGAGACGAATCCGAAAATTTATAAAGCTCTTCGCGCAACGCAGATCGCCATAAAGACTATGCTATGCGAAGTAGAAATCACTATCATGGATCTGCCATATCTTCAGATTCCATCGCGAGTGGAAAGGAGTATCATGAGCAACACGGAAAGAGAGCCCGTGGACGAAACTAGAAGACTTGTTCGTGACTGGGGTATACTTCTCAAATACAGAGATTATCTTCATGCCTGGAAGCACATTTTGGATTATTGACTAGCGCCAGAAGAAACGTTCGATAATATTATACGGTATTCGAATCCTATCGCAAAAATGTCAATGTTATTACATTTGTGACAATACAGTATCGAGAAAAACAATACGACGATTGTAACAAAATTGATCGAGAATGTACGACACTTCTCGAGTGACGATCAATGAAGAGAAACCAAATCGTGTCACAATATATGCATGGTTGGACATCATCAATGGATACAATTGTGATAACAGAAATTAGAGATCGTTGCGAAATGTCTGTACTCAAATGGCATCGCATTATTTAATTTATTTATTCGTGAATTTATTTATTACGATCATTGTGCATTAGCGTTAGTATTTATTATTTATTAACGGAATTATTTATTTGTAATATTTATTGATATCAATTGTACCTTTCAAGCTACCTGTTTAAAGACGATTTGACAACTTGTGATAATTATTTATTTAAGGAAATCATTATATTTTCTTGATAAATGACTACTGTTAATAGATGAGATTATTAGACATCGGTGAAGGACAATAATTGATTTTTATATTGTTCAATATTATCGAATAAATATCGTAAGCAATAAGTGATATATATTCATATCATATTTAATAATTTATTATTACATTTTACATTATATTTCATAATAAAAGAAATAAAATTAAGAATTAAAAATAACCGTGTTTGTTTTCTTACCTACGTTGCAATGTTAAGTATTCTAAATTCTTTCCGAAAGATGGCTCTATAAAAGTCAATTTATTAAATACGAACGAGATAAAGAACTGACACCATTCAATACTTTTTTTTCCTCTATTTCTCTTTTTATCATTTTGATAAAAATTTTCACGTTATTAAGATAATAAAGAATACAATTGTAATATTGCAATAAATAAATGTCTTAATGAATTTAATAAATTTCAAAACATTATATTACGTCGATAAGTTAATAAATAAAGAGAACTACTCGAACCATTATTGATATAATAGTACATGACTTTGCCCGCTAAACTATCTAGTAGAACTTTATTAAGTATCATTAGTTATATATCGCATGTTCTAACATACCGACTTTAAGCAACGTTTGTTACGCCATCTAGTATCCAATAATCTAAAGAATAAATACATCGAACGTATAAAACTTACTTTATGAAGCTAATGATTTACTGTTTTAAATTTGTCTAGAAATTTAAAAACTAATTTATAGATATTTTTTATTCAACAAAAATCTAAAAGTAATCTACTTACCCAAAAAATTTGAAGATCGTATTAAAAAAATACGATATTTTATTACGTATTAATTTAAACCATAAATAATTTCTCATAACATTAATAAAGAAACGCGTAAACTATAATGCAACTCTAATTCAATTTATTATTGATCAATAGCAACGTTAATAAAAAACTGCGATGCTAATGATTGGATCTGCTGGCATGTAATCAAGCAAATGATATTATGTATCAACAATAATATTATGTATTACTAAAACGAGCATAGTGACAAGCATAGTAACAATGATTTCCCATTCTTTAGACCCAGACAAAATCCAAAAGATGAGAAATCATTCGTTGCAGCCCTCTTCGTGACAGTTTGTCGGGCCTCTTCGATCTTCCTCCTTCGGGCGCAATGCCCGCTGAAACTTAAATCTAGGCTCGAGATTCACTAATCGTAAATCGAAAAAAAAAAAAAAGAACTAAATCGCGAAAACTAAATGCACATGGACGATCGCAGTGATCACTCTTCGTACACGCGTAGAATCTCGAGCGCAACGTTCGTTTCGAAAGAAAATCGCGACCGCGATCGCGAAATTCGAAAAATCGATGAGCAAAGGCAGACAAGTGATATTTGTCGCTCATCGATTTCTCAAATTTTATTCCCTGAAACAAGTTGTCACGCGAAAACGCGCCTACCCGATCAGAGACTGTGACAACCTGCCCGGCCCTACCTACTTATAATTAAACAGACACACCAAAAGTATACTACCTATCCTACCTAGCCCTATATTTAAAAAATATGGCAAAACAGACATACCAACACACACATTCTACGATTTCCACGCATAACACTCGGGCGCAAAAACCTACACTAGGGAAAACGTCCCGGGACGCCTCCGACACCCGAGCTTGGCACGCAACTTGCATACTCTAACTGTACGTACCATTTTCCTGAAATCGACTGACGATGGCTAGCGACCATTGCGTGAAACATGAAAAAAATACGTTTTAATCAATTTTAATTAATTTTGATATTTATGATCAAAGATGAAAGAAATTACTAAATAGTTAAATTTCCATTATTATAATTTGAAATTAAAAATTAATAATGCTAGTATTTATTGTTACTCGTAATTTTAATTACGAATGTAATATTGTGATTATATATTGTAATTGAATTAATAATGAATAAGAAGAAAATAATTGAAACGACGCAATTCCACTAGCCTAACCACATACACACAATGTGGAAAATACGTCGTGCACGATACGCTAACGCATTGTCAATCGCTAAAAAGTTTTTATTAGCTTATGAACTAAGGTCATCATGTCCATTGCCTCTTTCCCACCCAAGTAGCACCTGGGCACGTGAGTGAGATTCTGGCAACAGCATGCAAAGTGTTAAACCTGAAAATCCTGAGCTAAAAAAAAATTATTTATTTTTTATTTAACGGATTAATAAATCTTCTTTGTAAAATTTATTTACTTTTATTTTAAACAGTAATAAACTTACTTTACATATTTAATAAATTACTAAATATTAATTTTAATTAAATAAGGATATCAAAGAAATTATTTATGAGAATTTATTCATGACAATGAGTAATTGATTTTAAAAAATAACCTCAGGCGATTTTTTCATCAAAGCAAATTTTCGAAAATGCAAAAATAATGTTGACAACTTGTTGCTCTGATTCAAAAATCTACCTGTCGCGTAATGTCTTCTTGTATATAAGATTTAGTACATTTTTATAAAAAAGAATAATAAGAAAATATTTATATTTCAAATCATACTTGGTTTATAATTAAAAAACGCGATACAAGAAGACCTATCCTAATCTAATAAATAAAATACAGAAAAAAGGAAATGTTACTATTCACGAGTAAAATAAATACCCGTGGTCACTATGCTCGTGTAAAATTCTATTTATACAACCAGTCATTCATATCGATTTAGATCTTTCATTCTATGACATGATTGAATGACCGGAGGAACAGAAATGCATGTGACTCACCATTTGATGAGAAGAATTTTCTTATTGTTGTTCATGGGAAATCATTGTGAAGACTGGAAAATATCTATAACAAAAAGTGGAATATTATAATTTATCAATACAATGTTAAAGATTGAAATTCTAATAAACTAGAATAATAATAAAAATTGATATTTTTGAATTAAAATTTAAAAATTTAAATTTTTTAATGGCTAGAATAAAAGAAATTTAAATATATATATTCAAATTTTTTTTATCTTTCCTATCCAATACTTATTTAAATACTTATAAAAAAATATTATTATTTTTAAAAGAATTATACTGTGAATGTTCATTATTCAAATTAATAACATTCTATAAAAATATTCGAAAATATGTTCAAAATATAGAAAATTCATAAGAAATATATAAATAAAAAATGAATTATTTTGAAATCTTTTCTTCTATTAACTTGATATTTTCAATATAATAATTATGAATTATTTATTTACAAAAAATGTATAAATACTATATCAATAATTCAATAAAAAAAATATATGTCACTTTTTTAATATAGAAATTTAAACTTTACCTTTTTCTCGTAAAATATGAATTATCATCATAGCACTCATATTGAAAATCCTTTTTCTTGCTCAAAATAATCTTAGCAATTGACTTCTTATCTGTGCAAAAAAAAAAATTAAATCTTTAAAATAAATATATAAAATATATAAGATTAAACTCGTAAATCATATAAAATAAAACAATAATATAATTCAAATCCTATTTTAGAAGTTCATAATAAGAGTCAAATAAATGAATGAAAAAAAAGTAATAAATTATTCTTCAAAAAAGTATCAATTATAAAAATATTCAATAAATAATCGAATAAATGTGTATTAATAAAATAATAATAAAAAATAAAAAAATTACTATAAAATAAATATTACGAAATAAAAAGATCATAGCACTAAAGAATCACAAGTTTCGATAACAAAATGATACTTTGCATAGCAATTTCGATATATTGAATTATAAATCGAAAAGGAAAACGAAATATTCAATTCAGTTCGATAAATCGAAGTATGTCGAGCATGACACAAACGCCATTAATTTCTTGAAATGACTAAATTATGAAAAATGTTTTTGATTTTGAAATCTTAAAAAACCAAAAAAAATATATAAAAATAATACAAGAATTAAACATACAGATAAATTAGAAAAAAATTTAGGAAAAAATGTAAAATATAATGTAAAATACATGAATTGATCACAATGAAAATTTATTACTTCTATTTCAGAATGAATAAAAAGATAAAAGAAATTTATAGTAACTATGTTTTTATTAAAAATAAATAAAAATTTACCATATTTGCATAAAAACCGTCAGATTATCTTTTTCGCCATATGTAAAAAAATTATTTCACTTTTCGTCTTCAAACTGGTCAAAATCGACAAAAGTTCAAAGTATTGTTTAATTCTGATATAATATGATTAAACAAACATGTATTAAGTTTAAAAATTAATAATTAATAACAAATTTTTTATAATTATACACTTCACTGGTAAAACGTGACCCGTCACCACGATTTTCAACTGTAGACTGACGCCATGCGCATTACAATGCGCATAGATTCATAATGAGACTAAATTTTAATAGCTTTCTGATTGGCTAGAACTATACGATTCCTTATTTTAAATTCGCGCGAAAATTCAACTGTATTATATAATAATTTTTAATTGTGAATTGTACATAATAAAAAAAAATTCAACTTTACTATTTCTTTATAGTTCCCATATTGAAACATTCTTGTCTTTAAAGAAAAACTAGTAATTAATTAATTACTGTAGAAAAATCAAAATATATAGAGTTATATTAATTGATAATATATTAATTCATTAAATTGAAATAAAATAATAATGAAGCATAAATTCTATCTTAGAAA